CTGGGAGGAGTGACGTGTAGTCACTTCCTCCCAGCTCTGTGATGTAATCACAGGGGGCCCGGTAGCGCTGTTAAAGCGCCCAGAGCTGACCGGGCCCCCTCACAATCCACATCCATCGGGTGGCCCTGACAGCATGGGCCATCTGATGGATCCCTTGGACGGCGGCCCTGGCGGTTTGCCACCCGGGCAGGTTTCAGCACATGGTGATGGCGGTACCCGGTCGTAGGGGTACTGCCGGCTCGCACTCGCCCGCCTACCCAATCTCTCCAAATGAGAAAATCCCTACCGCCCACCTGGAATCCTGAAACGCCCAGTAGTTGGCGGTAGGGACCAAGTTGACGACCCATGGTTTAAATGGACGCTGTTAGCACCAAAACCACTACCTCAATGTACTGGTGTTGGTGCATATATTGTGTCCTTTTTTGGACAATGCTGTTTCTGGGAAGGAAAAAAGAAACCTGAACGTTCAAGCCTATAGACATGTTTAATTCTTTTTTTTTTTTTGCATTGCTAAAAGCTGCTGTTTCCACTAAACATATATCACATAAATGCTAACAGCTTAATGTACAAGGCTGTGCTAGCTTATATAAGGCAGCTCCAGAGTCGGCATGGATAAAAAACAAATGTGCTTTTATTTTTTTTATTTTTTTTTTTTTTTGAGGCATTTGAAATTTTACAAAAATATTCTACTTGCAACAGCCTACACAGTTCTTGGTTATAAAATGAGAAGCGGCAGAAGTTCAGTTAAGCAGGAATCAATAAGATGTGTTCTGCTTTGTGCTTCCACTAAAGGATATAATCATATTTGCAAGATACTACATCTTGTGAAAATTCCGCTACCTTGGCAGTACATAAGCAACTACCGTGATCATACAATGATAGTAAAAATGTTTTTTTAATGGTAAAAATCTTCTATTGTGTTTTCTGTTTCTTATAAAAAATGTCCCTTTCTTCATATTTTTATAGTCTCATCTGATGAAAAGACCAGTGTGTTCTGAAAAACTCATATTCAATAATATCTTTATAGGATGTTTTATAGCTAGCCAATAAAAAGTGTAACAATGTGAAAATCCTGTTTTCTTGAGCATAAAAATTCTATATTGGTGTTTTCGATGGTTACCTTACATTTTTTTCTTCATACTCATGAACGTGTCAATAGAATAGTCAATCGCCTCCTTATTATCCAGTCTCTTGAAATAAACACTTTTTATCCTTGAAAAGTTTCAGCAAATTCCTAAGCCTGCATCGTCTGTACAGTTCTCATTCTTTCACAGCTGAAGCACGTGATGTTTTTCAATTTCAAAAACCACTTCACTGATAAATCACTGTGCTGCGTCCTTACAGGATTACTCAAACTTTTAAAGTAAATGTTTTTTCTTCTTCTAATGTTTAAGTATTCCTTTTAGGGAAAAAAAATAAATAATTTAATTAAAAATATAGAATTTACCCAACTTTTACCTGTGACAAGACCATCACCTCACCAAAGCTTTGCTCTGCCCTGAGGAGATCATAATTCTGGTGATATCCAGGCCAATTCAATGCTTCCCAAAAATAAGCATAAAGTATATAGGGTGCATGTGCAGAAGTCGTCACACTTGATCAATGCACAATATGATAAGAATTTTCAGGAGTCCAGAAATGAGCCATAGGTTGTGGTTAAAAACTAAATGGTGCCTTCACCCTCTACTGAATACTGCAGTGCCTCAGGACACTCCTATCCTTCCAACTGTGGTAAACCTGCCAACCATACCCAGCAGATGTTTGAATAAGCCTTGTGCAGGTGGCTGACACTGTTTGTACTCCATCCCATTAAGGTTAGGATAAAGGGTTTTAGGTAAGTAATGGGAAGAGACTTTCCAATAGTTGTTCTACCTTACCATATCATATCATATGTGCACATCAGATAGTAGTTCACAGAGAAGAAGAGAATCCACCGATCGGGAGCCTTGCCTTCTGGTCAATGGGATGGCATTTTCCACTGATGAGTTAAACTACTTCATAAGATGATAACAGATTTAACATACTGGCTAACAGTTTATTGACAGACCCTTGACAGCTTTGTAAAAGGGATTGTAAACAGTAATTTTTAAAGCTGCTGAGTAGCTATAGAGGAAAGTTTAGAAAGCACAAAGAACTGGAAATCAGTGTGCAAGTCCCTCGTGACTTTAGTCTCTGCAGGTGTTAGTCTAATGATTGTGATTTTTTGCAAATCCTTATAGTTGTACACTGATTAGCTACAATATTAAAACCTTTGACAGGTGAAGTGAATAACATTGATTATATCGTTACAAGGGCACCTATCTAGGGGTGGAATATATTAGGCAGCTAGTGAACAGTAATTTCTTGAATATCATGTGTTGGAAGCAGGAAAAATGGTCAAGCAAAAAGATCTGGGTGACTTTGACAAGGTCCAAATAGTGTTAGCTAGACAACAAGTTGTAAGGATATACAGTGTATCACAGTTTCCTGCTTATGCAGCTGCGTAGCCACAGATTTTTCTGGCCACTGCCTATGATGACGGCCTTCAGCACCCAAAAGTGCATTTAATGGGTACGTGAACATCAGAACTGGACCATGGAGCAATGGAAGAAGGTTGCATTGTCTGATAAATGTTGTTTTTGTTTAGATTAGGTGGAAGGCCGGGTGCGAGGATGACATTTACCTGAAGAGTTGGCAGCAGGATGCACTATGGTAAGAAGGCAGTCCAGCGGAAGCAGTATTATGCTTTGGGCAATGTTCTGCTGGTCCTGGCATTTATGTGGATGTTACTGTGACATGCACCAACTATGAGATTGTTGCAGACCATGTACACCGCTTCATTGCAATGGTGTTCCCTGATGTCAGTGGCCTCTTCAGCAGGACACTGCACACTGCCACAGTGCACAAATTGTTCGGGAATGGTTTGAGGAACATGACAGAGTTCAAGGTGTTGGTTTGGCCTCCAAATTCCCCAGATCTCAATCTGATTAAGCATCTGTAGGATGTGCTGGAACAACAAATCCGATCCATGGAGGCCTCACCTCGCAATGTGATGCACTTAAAGGATCTACTGCTAATGTGTTGGTGCCAGATCCCACATGACACGTTCAGAAGTCTTTAACACTGATATAAAAAATTTTGACTTTCCAGTTTACATCGATGCTGTTGAATTCTGTAATTGGGCTTTGCAATGCTCTGCTGCTTTAAGTAGTATCATTGTTATTTATCAGGACAGTCTTTAATGTCATTTTGATTAATCTTGGAGAAGATATGCTGTTGCCCTTGAGAAAAGAATAGGACAAATAGCAAGCTACACATATAACTATCATATAGATTATCTGCATTTGGGCTATATCCAAGTAATGCTACTTCATTAAAGTGATAAAGAATCTTCCATTTTTAGTTGTGGAATTACATATAATTAATCATGTCCAGTGAAGGACAACTCAGAACAGCATTATAACTCAGTAGTAATGGTTTTGATTTAACTACTGTCTATAAATAAATATGGGCAAGTCCTTAAAATATATGCCTTTTTGCACATGTAATAAATTAAGTGAATAACTATTTCACTGCTTAGTAGATCAAACATGTTTGCGTTCATTTTTTATGTATCATACCCATTATATACCATATATTACATACCTGTTTATGATACCTTATTTTCAAAATAAAATACTTTCTGCGCCAGTGGTGTTAGCAACACTTAAATACTTTCCTTTAATAAAATAACTTGACATGAACAATGTTTGGTATGAATGAAAATACTTATCACATAATATACAGTATCTGTCTTATTTTTCTTCCATCAAACTCATTCCTCTATAAGACCTTTATTTATCTGCCCATTTCCTTCTTAACCCACCTTCTCTTCATAATCCATTCTCTTCCCCATCAATCTCCGTATTCATGCATAAGAACTCCTCTTGCATTGTCCCTTCTACCATTAGTCCTATGATTTTTTTTATTCCTCTTTTCTTTGTCAAGGTTCCTCTGCCTCCATAAGCGTAACTCCCTATCTACAAGCCCTGTTCTTACATTCATTCCATGGATATATTTAAAGGGTTACTGTAAGCACCATGACATTTGAAGTGGTCATGGTTAGAGATGAGCTGACACCTGGATATTTGGGTTCGCCGGGTTCGGCCGAATTTCAGCAAAAAGTTTGAGTTCAGTTTAAAACCTGACCCGAACTTGACCCCGAACCCCATTGCAGTCAATGGGGACCTGAACTTTTGGGCACTAAAATGGCTCTAAAAAAGTCCTGGAAAGGGTTAGATGGCTGCAAATGAGGTAAAATGGGGGTAAGAGTAGGACAAGTGCCCTGCAAACAATTGGGGTATCCCCCAAAATATTGGGACATATAAAAAAAGAAAACAAAGAATAAGTGCACTTGATTATAACAATGACTGGGTGAGGCCGGTATAAATGTCTATTCTGCACAAGGTACAGACAAGTCTGGTGGGATCCATGCCTGGTTCATTTTAATAAACGTGAGCTTGTCCACGTTGGCTGTGGACAGGCGGCTCTACTTGTCTGTGATAACGCCGCCTGCCGTGCTAAACACACGTTCAGACAATACACTGGCTGCAGGGCAGGCCAGCACCTCCAAAGCATAAAGGGCAAGCTCAGGCCATGTGCCCAATTTGGAGACCCAGAAGTTGAATGGGGAACATCCATCAGTCAGTACTGTTCCACAATGTTGCTGAAATGCTGCCTCCTGCTAAGACGTTCCATATCAGCTGGTGGTGCTGGTTGTTGTGGCGTGCCTTCTGAGGTGCTGGCGGTGCCCCAGCTGTGTTGGCGACCTCTTCCTCCTCCTCTGCCTTTGCCTTGTGCTTCCACTGAGCCCCTGGTGTCAGTTGGGGATGCCCTCAGCAGCGCGTCTAACAGCGTGCGCTTGTAGTCGCGCATATTCCGATCACGCTCCAGGGAATTAAGGACGGCATGTTGTCCTTGTAACAGGGATCCAGCAGGCTGGCCACCCAGTAATCAGCACAAGTTAGAATGTGGGCAACTTGGCAGTCATTGCGCAGGCACTTTGGTGACTCTAAATAACCTCGGGCCAATCATACGTCCCCGTGACGGCGACGACGCATTCGGATGTCTGCCCTATCAACTTTCGATGGCCTACCATGCTGACCACGGGTAACGGGGAGTCAGGGTTCGATTCTGGAGAGAGAGCCTGAGAAACGGCTACCACATCCAAGGAAGACAGCAGGCGCGCAAATTACCCACTCCCGACGCGGGGAGGTAGTGACGATAAATAACAATACAGGACTCTTTCGAGGCCCTGTAATTGGAATGAGTACACTTTAAATCCTTTAACGAGGATCTATTAGAGGGCAGGTCTGATGCAGAGCGACTGACCCGTGCATGCTGCAGCTGAAACTCCACTATCGCCTGCTGCTGCTCGCACAGTCTCTCCAGCATGTGCAAGGTGGAGTTCCACCCTGTGGGCACGTCGCATATGAGGTAGCGAGCGGGAGGGCCGAAGATACACTGCAGCACAGACAGGCGAGCAGCAGCAGGGTGAGAACGTCGAAAGCGCGCACAGAAGGCCCGCACTTTCTGCAGCAGCACTGATATATCTGGGTAGTTTTTCAGGAATTTCTGCACCTCCAAATTCAGCACATGCGCCAGGCAAGGGAAGTGCGTCAAACCGGCTAGGCCCAGAGCTGCTACGAGATTTCGCCCATAATCACACACCACCAGGCCGGGCTTGAGGCTCAGTGGCAACAACCACTCATTGGTCTGTTGTTCCATGCACATATGAGTTTTAAAACAGCCTGCTGTCATTTCCCCCTGGCTGTGCTGAAGTTGATGGTGAAGGTGTTACGCTGACCGGATGAGGAGGTGGTAGAGGAGGAGGAAGCTGAGTAGGAGGAGGAGGCAAAGAGAAATGCCCTGCAATCCTCAGTGGCGGAAGGACATGCGCCAAATTGCTATCCGCCTCAGGCCCAGCCGCCACTACATTTGCCCAGTGTGCAGTTAGGGAGATATAGCGTCCCTGCCCGTGCTTACTGGTCCACGTATCAGTGGTTATGTGGACCTTGCCACAGATGGCGTTGTGCAGTGTACACCTGATTCTGTCCGCCAATTGGTTGTGCAGGGAAGGGATGGCTCACTTGGAAAAGTAGTGGCGGCTGGGAACCACGTAATGTGGGACAGCCACCGCCATCAGGTTTTTAAAACTGTCCGTCTCCACCAGACGGAATGACAGCATTTCAAGAGCACTTCCTCTTTCTCTCCAGTGATTATTTTTATTTTTATTGGACTGCAAGAAATGCACTGCAGGCCGCAAATGTTCTATTTAGCACCAAAAAAATGTGAATTTTTCAAAGTACGATGTAACCACAGTATTGACGGTTCTATTTGACTCTCAGATATGAAGTGCACGCCACAAATTTACTTTTTAGCACCAAAAAAATTTAAATTAGTCGAACTGTAATGTCACAGCAGTATTTGACGGTTCTGTACCACCTCATAAGCGTCTTATAAGCTTGCTCTTTGTGGTTAACGCATATTCATATGGTGGCTGTGGTGTCCCATATTTCGGCCCAGTCGGATGGGTATTCCGCTGGTCCTACATCCCTCTCCCAAGCCAACACGTATGTGAGTGCCCCGTCTTTTATGCGTTGTATTATGTGGGAGTATAGCGCCGATATTTGGCCTTTTTGTGTTGGATTTTGTAGGCATTGTTTTTCAAAAGGTGTCAGTGTTTTAGTTCCCGCCTGTTTAATTGTCGGTATTTCTAGAAAATTTCTGATTTGTAAATGGCGGAACATGTCAAAGGTGCGGTATGGGGTGTGGGAGGTCTGTGAAAGGCATCGGTTGTTGGTTGTTGTAGAAGTGATGTCGTTGAGTGAGGTCGTTTTCTTCAAAGCGTGCAAAATCTTTGGGTGTCATTCCCGGAGGGAATTGCATGCACAAGTTTACTTTTTAGCACCAAAACAATTTGAATTTGTCAAACTGCAATGTCACAGCAGTATTTAACGGTTCTATTTGACTCTCAGATATGAAGTGCATGCCACAAATGTACTTTTTAGCACCACAAAAAGTGAATTAGTCAAAGTGCAATATCACAGCAGTATTTGACGGCTCTATTTGACTCTCAGATATGAAGTGCACGCCACAAATTTACTTTTTAGCACCAAAATAATTTGAATTTGTCAAACTGCAATTTCACAGCAGTATTTAAAAATGCCTAAATGTTGCCTACTAAGCTACCAGAACAGGATTAAAGTAATGTGCCTGGCACACATGCAGTTGCAAGTGCCCACCTAACAAACAGACTCTGTGGCATTAGGCTCAGGGCAGGGTACAAAAATGTAGTATAGCACCCACAAAAATAATCGCTGTAGTTTGCAGATTCAACACCAGAATTCTTTCCTAGTCTGTCCCTCACAGCTGCAGCATCCTCTTCCTACACTAAAAAGAGCTCATGTGACTCCAGCTTATATAGAGGCTGGGTCACATGCTGCACTGGCCATTAGTAGGCATGGCTGTGATGGCTTCTTAGGGCACACGAGTCAAATGCTTGTTGATTGGCTGCCGTCCGTTTTTTTTAAAACGCGCCATTAAATCACCGAACTGTCACTGAAATGTCCGGGCTCGGGTTTGGGGTCCAAAAATCGTAATGTTCGGTACGAACCCGAACTGAGTTCATCTCTAGTCATGGTGTTTCAATACTGAGTTTTGCTTTGAAACGCTGCACCCAGAGATTAACCCCTCAGCAGGCAACATCATAAGGGTGTCCTCAACTAGTATGGTACTAGAATTCCTGGCTGGCTAATGTCAATACCATTCAACTTTCAACGCACCGAATGTCATCTGATCAGCTGACCTCTCAGCCAATGCTGCTCTACAGAAGCCAGAAGCGTGTCACTGGAATATCAGGGAGCTTCAGAGCCCAGCAGGGACCCAGGTAAGGGGGCAAAACATTGCTGGGTAAACAGGCCAGTGTTCTCCTGGTGTTATAACCACCACAGTGGGCTGTAGCAGTTATGATGCTTGGAGTAAGCCAGGGCATATACACAGTGTGGCTGCTCCTAGGAGCCTTCTCTCTCTCTATACACAGCACAAGGGAACTAGCACTTACCCTGCCTCTTTGTATTATATGGTGGTAAAACCTAATTTTATCCAGCAGCCACTCTTCCATCAGTTGCAGCTTTCTCTCTGAAGCTTTTCTTATTCCTCAATAATCATACTCACTCATCCATCTCTTTTCTTCATAAGTTCCCAAATGCCACAAAGCGTGTCTCAGCCAACTGCTCCCCCTCTCTAGTCTCTCATCCACTATTTCCACTTCAGCCCCCTTCCATCTGTCCTGCTGTCCTTCCATATAAGCATAATACACAGCAAGTTGCATGTTTCAATGAGGAGTCCACGGCTTGCTGAATGTCAAGTCTTGCCACTTGGATCACTCTGACAATAAAATTTATCTGTTTATTTATTGAGTGTTTCAGCACACAAGTTACTATTCAGCAAATATCACTGGCTATAGACATGTATGATTAATGTCCACAAAAAAAAACATAATTAACCAAATGCATTTATAGTTTTTATGATAAATTACCTTCGTGTGAGGTATCAAAGCTATTAGAGGTGGTCACGACGTCTGGCATTTATCATTCTGCAAGCTCTGTTTGTACATTATGAATAAGATAGTAACTGTAAATATTATCTTGTACCTTTTTGCAGTATTTTAACATTTCCCTTACAGCTTCACCCACTGTGCCAAATGCAAGAACACTGATTCTATGGGATAATCTACTGGGTGGTTTGCTTGGAGAGGAACTCAGTTGCAGTGGAGTGGCAACCCCTTGTAAAAACAACCTTCCCGTGTGCCTGAGAGCGATACAGGAACCTGGAAGATTTATGAGGGTGAGGGTACTTTTATTAAAAGAGAAAGTGATGAAACCAGTCAGAGTCAGGTGGTCCAATGGTTAGGGCTGGCAACAAAGGAACAAGGTCAAGAGTAAAGGTGAAGGTCAGAAGCCAGGAAATCCACAAAACTGGGGTCAATAATCCAGAGTTTAAAGGTCAAAGACAAGAACCAAGGTCAGGGCTGAAGCCAAAGATCAGAAGATTTCCAAACGGGAAAAAAAATAATCAGGAACCAGAGACAAGAATCAGAAACCAGGATGCTAGAAGACTGGGGCAAGCACCAAAACAACCAAGCTCTGACCAGATGCACTGCTTGGGTATTTATAGGCAGAGCTAGTCATATGACTGCCCCCCCACCCTCTGCAGGTGGAGCTCTGCAGTGACTATAAAGAAGGGGATGGGTCTGGGCACCATCTTGGCTAAACCACAGTCCCTCCCCTCTGCCTCTACAGTCCTCTCTGACTGCCAATCCTCTACAAATGCCACGTGGGTGGACATTCACATGGTGGCCTCCATCTTAAAGCAGCAGTGCCTAAGCTGAGCCCGGCGTAAAGGGCGGTCACTGAAGCACGGAGTAACAAAGGAAGGAGCACCACGCCAAGGGCGCAATGGGAGAGGTAAGTGCCGACAGGCCATGTGACAGTTTGGTGGACCATTCTAGTGTCCACAAATATATTTATCCATGATCCCCACACGTGAGCATATGCTGATCAGCATGTCTCCCTGGCAAAACTAGCAAAATGTATATGTTCAACTATGAACAAGAACTGAAAATAACCTTGTCCATGCAGTGCCTTTTTAGCTCATAAAGTGAAATGTCCTTCTTCCTGATAGAATCCCGCTGGTTTCACTTTCTTTGCAACTACATGCGCGAGCTAAATAAATCAGTCTTTGGCTGCAATGCTTTTCCAGAGACACATTTTCCAAAAACATGTTGTTTTGTATCCAAAGCTGGTTAATAACCATTTATCTAGCTTACCCAAAACACTAGCTGACAAACATTATCTTACACAAGTTTTGCTTATTTATATTATTATTATTACTTTTAAAATGTTATGATATGTTAAAGCACAGTAACTGTAATGGAGCTTCCTGTACCCCGATTGGGTACCTCCAGCGATGGATGCGCCGAGGGCTCCAAGCACTCCACCAGCCACCATAAGCATGGCAGACCCCACAACCGCCGCAGTTTGGTTGGGGTCTCGCCGTCTCCTACCCACCCTGGACCTACGACAATTATCTAGGTTTCAGTAGGTGAACCTCTCTTCCTCCAGAGAGTCAAGCAGGAATTACTCTTACAAGAGCTCAGAGAATCCAAGGGAGTATAGTGATTATAGCAATCCCTTGTAGTGATATAGTAGTTTACCCCAATAAGAGACAAGACTCTAGATTGACGGTGAAGTAAGTCTGTTTAATGGAAGCCACAGCGGGCCTTTTATGCAGGTTTCCCAACAAGGGCGACACCCAGGTGGACCTTGTTGGGCACAGGGACAAAAAGTGTA